CAAGGTAACAATTTAAGTGGAATGTTGTCTGAAACCCACATGCAACCTGCTCCACTCCTTTGGAAGGTGGAGCAGACACTCCATTCCATGCACATGAAACTAGGTTGCTCACATTCAAACTTCAGCATCAGGAGGACAGAGAGACATGCCACTGCCAGTAAAGCAGTTTTCCTGGTTTTGGCTGGGATAGAGTTAATTTTCTTCTTACTAGTTGCGGTTTGGATTCAGTATGAGAATTATGTTGGTAGCACACTGACGTTTTGGTTGTTGCTGAGTAGGGCTTACCCTGAGTCAAGGACTTCTCAGTGTCTCAGATGCACAAGAAGCTGAAGGGAGAGCATGGCAAGGATAGGTGACCCAAATTGGCTAAAATGGATATTCTGTGCTGTATGTAGAACATCATGGTCAGTATCTAAACTCAGGGGAGTTGGCTGGGAGCTGCTGATTGCTGCTTGCCAGGCTGGGCATCTGTCAGCAGGTGGTGAGCAATTGTATTGTGTATCACTTTGTTCTCTTGAATTTTATTCCTCCCTATATTTTTCCCTTTCCTTTGTCTTTGCCTTTGTCTTTTTGTATTTTACTTTGTTTCTATTATTAAACTGTTCTTGTCTCAAACCAAGAGTTTTACATTTTTCCCAGTTTTCCTCCCCCTTCCACTGGTGGAACGGGGAGTGAAGAAGCAGCTGTGTGGTATCTAGTTGCCAACTGAGGTTAAACCACGATGGCAGTATTGAAGAAACTATGAAGTCCTTCCTTACATGACCTAACATTTTCTCTCCTTCCCTACATCCAGATTCACTGACAATTAGGAAAATACCTCTGCATAGCCCAGAAAAACTAGTCCATTAGTCCATGCTTGGCTCATTTTTTCCAAGTCTGCACTCTAAATGTCCTCTCTTTGAACATTATAAATACAAGATTACCTGGGTAAATTTCTTTAAAAGGACTTTAAAATCCAAGTGCTGTATAACTTAGTCTTTCTGAAATCAGGTCCCCAGTGGTTACTGTTTGTAAATGCAAAAAATCTCTCAATTCCCTATCCAAAGGTAGAAGTAGATTATAAAATCAAAATTAAGTTCTTGTTTAGCTCACTAATATGATCTGAAATAAAGGCATCCAGTAATAATACTCTGTGTGATACACAATAGGGTATTTTGTCTCTCAAAGTTCTCAGTAGATTAGAAAACACAGCCTTACCATATTGTGCTAAGCACTTTAATTACTGTTTCTAGTACAGCTTAGTAAAGTGTTCTCAACAAACCCTACTTGAATTTCCTTGATTAGTGCAAGACGTGATGTCCTTGCAGTAGGAACTGAAACATTTTTTCACTCATCAGGATCCTCTCCATACACCCTGTAGAACTGGAAAAGCAGAACAAACACTGTTTTCTACCCATTAAGATTCTGTAAAATAGTATTTTGACAAAGCTTGCAGAGGAGAGGAGATAGGCCACCTAGGAGGCAGAAACACCAATGTTAATCTGACAGATGAATCTGTTATCTTAAGAGAGAGATTTTTCATCTCTGTTAGATCTGATCCAGGATTCCTTTTCCTCTCCTTTCCATAGTTGCCTCATGCTTTCCCCTGAAGGCCAACCATCAATTTTCCTAGTATTCCACCTCTCTGTAGCTTAAAATCACCCAGTTCTCATCAGAGGGGTTGACTCAACCCTCTAGAAGGGTTGTCAACAGAATGAGAAGGTTGAGGAGAGAGTCAAGTTGCACTAACAGACACAAGTAACTTAAAAAAGATGTTTTCTCTACTGATCTTAGTGCTACTTCACATTACTGCTAATACTGAAAAATTTATATTATTTGAAAGTAGCTAAGTGCTTGCTTGACAAAAGTAGCTCGAATTGTTAGGCTGCGAGATGAACTTTAGCTGAACTGTATGGCTAGGTTGTGTAAATCAAAGATGGATTATAATGAAACCTGGAGCTAACAATCTGAACATTAATAATATGTAAAATAGACAAAGCTGGCATCTTAACTATTACTTAAAAATTATTAGCTAGCATGGAAAGTCCATAGACTGTGGTATATGACCATATTACAACATAGACTACAGAACTGACCGAAACCTCCACTGAAACCAACACAAGAGGATGTGAAGATGACCACATAGCAATTACTCGACAATGAAACAGGAAACCAGTGAAGAGCAAGAAGACCCCAGACACTATATGGTTGTTGGTCCAGACTGTCCCAGTTTGTATGGGTATAATTGCCCAGGGATTTCTTTGTTCATGTCCCTTGTTTAGGCACTTGGCTTGAGATACCAGATATCATAAGTGACCTGTGCCAATAAACCTATACAAGGGAGATGGGAGCCCAGTGTCAAAAATTTCTATAACATCTACATTTTCGAGAATTTAGGTTTTTAGGTGGTTGTTTGGGGGTTTTTTTGGTTTTTTTTTTTGCTAATCTTCTAATCCTATATCTAGCATAACAACAAAATAGAAGAGCCATTCTACAGCTGCAATCTAACTGCCTTCTACTTAGTCCTTTCTTTGCAGTCAGATCTCCTTTTTGCCATTAGCCAGCAAGCTGACTATCAGGCCTAAGTCTCAGATGGTTATAACTATCAAATATATAATATTTCATTATTGGATTATAACAAATCATCCCATCAGGAATATGCAGGAATACTGAGGGTTCTGCTTGCCTCATGATGTTACCGGATCCACACAACCTGCACAGGCTTTAGTCATCTGAAAGCTGGCCTCTATTTATTTGCTATAATTTCAAGACATAACGCTCGGCTTGTTTTATAGTTTATAACTACTAATGAGGCCTCAAAACAGTGGCTTTTCATGTGTTATCACAAATTATGCTCCTCACCTGTTCAGCTAAATTTCAACCATACTTTATTCCAAAATATATTTATTTCAAAGTATGCTGTGACAGAGGGTTGCTGCTTCCATTTTGCAATGTGTTAAACAACTTGTATCAAACCTATTTGGTGACAGGTAGTAAAAATACAGGCTGCCACCTGAGGCTTAAAAGTCTTTCTCTCTGTATTTACATGAAAATTAACAGTAATTCCTAAAAATAGTTACATGACTGAAAGCCTGAGGTGATCTTTAGTACAACAACTGAAAAAAATTCAAAACCAAGGCAAAAGATAGATAATCAAAGCAAATAAACTTGGGTAAAAAGCATAAAAGTGTAAAGTGATTGTGTGTTTACAAACTCAGATTAAAAAGAAATTATTAGGAAAAAAAAAGTAGAGAGGACTTTTTATTGTGTTCTGTATTTGTGGAACAAAGATGAAGCAATTCACCTCAGCTAGCATTTACCATAATGTTTTTGTTTGTTTTTTTTTTTACAGTGAGTGCTTAGAGTATTGTTTCCAGCAGTGTTCTAACTCCAGGTTGAACATCCCAGCAGTCAGCATCACCTTGCTGCAGCTACACTGTGCACTGATCTCTCTGAAGAGCTGCGGTCTAGCGGAGGAAGCCAGGCAGGGTGGAGTGGGTGGCCTCTGCTTGGACAGTTCCCAGACCTATCTTTTAACCCTTCTTCCTTTAAAGAAGTGCTGAAAGATAGGTCTTTTCCACTTCCCTGCTATAACGTAATAGCTGTGACAAATTTTGTTCTTTTTTTCTTGGTATAACTTGATATGTACAGCAGAACACATCTCTCTACATTTTTTTGTTAGAAGAGGTGTATCATGGACCTAGCCTGCAGCACTGAACTGCTGACAAACATTATTATGACATATTGTAAGCATTTGACAAGCTTTGGGTTTCAGTAAGGATAGAGACAAGGCTTCCCAAAGGAAAGGACTATTTCCTTCAGTGGCTGGTTGGTTGATTTTCCGTCATATTTTCGTGATGCCAACCACACTCAGATGTCTTCTCTCCAGCAACCAGTGACAGGACCTGGGTGAATGGCCTGAAGTTGTGTCAAGGGAAGTTTAGGTTGGATATTAGAAAAAGGGTCTTCTCCCAGAGGGTGCTTGGGCACTGGAACAGGCTCCCCAGGGCAGTGGTCACAGCACCAAGCCTGTCAGTTCAAGAAGTGTTTGGACAACACTCTCAGGCACACGGCGTGACTCTTGGGATGGTCCTGTGCAGGGCCAAGGGCTGGACTCAATGATCCTTGCGGGTCCCTTCCAACTCAGAATATTCTGTGATTCTGAGATTTCCTCCTGCTAATTTCTGCAAAGGTAAGGACTACGCCATGACAAGACATAAGTGTAATTTGGGCCAACGACAGCTACCAGTCCCTCCATAGCTTTATTACACCGTGGGGTGTTCACGTTCAGAAGAGCCCTCACCGCAGGGCACAGCTGGGCCACCCGCGCTGCCTCCGCCCGGGCTCTGCCCCCAGCACCGCTCGTCCCCCGGCCCCGAGCGGGCGGGGGGTGTCGGTGCCGGGCCGGTCCCGGCGCATCCCCCGCTCCATGCAGGCACTGAGGGGCCGGGCCGAACCCCGCCTCCTGCGCGCCGGCCCCGCCCGTCCCCGCGGCCTGCGGCGCTGCGGCGGCGCTGCCCGTGTCTGCGGGCCGGAGCGGCGCGCTGCGGTGAGCGACCCTGCCGCGCTGGGGAGAGCGGGGGGTGAGGGGGAACAAGGAGGGGGGACTCGGCCGAGGGGGATGCGGGGCGCGCTGCTGGCGGAGGGGCGGCGGGGCCGCCATCGCGGCCCGGCTCTTTCCGCCTTCGCGTTCCCTCCCTTCCCTTTCCACACCTCCTGCCGCGGCGGTGCCGCCGCTCTCCCCGCGCAGGGGGCGCGTTTGTCTCCCCGGGTACGTCGCCCGCTGTCCTGGGACGGAGGGGAGGGGAAAGGGGGGGAATAAGCGGCGCTTGGCGGGGGCAGGGAGAGGAGGAAGAGGAGGAGGAAGAAGAGGAAGAAGGAGGAGGAGGAGGAGGAAGGAGGTGACGTGCGGGAGGCGGGCGGGGCGGGGGTCCCTTTGCGGGAAGGGGGTGCCTGCTCGGGCTCGGGGGATGCTCGGCGGGCAGTGCCGCCTCTCCTGCGCCCCCGCCTCCCGCATGCCCTGCGCCGCTCCTGCTGTCGGCAGGCCTGGAGGAGGAGGAGGAGGAAGAGGAGGAGGAGAAGGAGAAGGAGGAGGAGGGTTGCTTTTCCCCTCTCCTTGAGATCCTAGTCCGGCAGGTACATCCTCACGGAGGTACTGGCGACCTGTTTGTCGTGCAGGTAACGGTGTGAAACAGACCGGGGCGTGCGAACCTCCGGTTTCCATCGCGGGAAAATGTTATGCTGAGGGTTAATTTTAGCGTCGGGCTGCATTTAGGCAACTTGGGAGAGGCGCTGTCCGTTTTCGGCATCCGAATTTAAAGTGGGTCATTCATTCTTGGAATGTGGCGTTTTGCATGTGTATCTGAAGGGTTGGCCTGCTAGGTCTGGAGAGCGAGCTGGCGAAGCTCACAATACTGTGATTTAATCTCCATTATCAGTTCAAGTTACTCATTGATGAAGTGCTTATGCTGAGCAGTTCCCAACTTCGCTGTAGTCAGGTGTGAGTAGGCGCAGTGATTGACTTTAACAGGGAAAATATTCACCACAAATACTAAACTTGCAGAAAGAGGTTGTTTCTATGTTTGTTTGTTTTAAATCATGTTAGTGTGCTTATAGGTGTAAGTCCATTGCTGTATTTCTTCACAGTGTTGCTAATACATTTTGTTACGTGCATTTGTCATCTTGGTTTTTATAATGTGATGCAGAAGTGTGTTGAACAGCAATTGCTGTGAAAATTGTCAGTTTGTGCTAGAAATCCTAGCGTTTTGGGGGATTGTTAGTCAATCCAACATTGCGAGAAAGCCCATTTCTATTTATGTCAGTAGTGTTGTTATTATTTTTAGTAGATGTTTTTCATCAGCTTTGCAGTTTTAAGTAGGCCAGGTGCAGAGTGATTCAGTTCCTGTTGGTTTGTTGATGGTGTTCAGGGCCAGATACTTTGCGTTAAGATGTACCAGTGGTCCTCTTGTTATGACAGAAATCCGTGACTTTAAGTATTTAAATATTTGACCTTTTTAATGATGCTGAATTTTGTGAAATCCTAACCTCAGTTCAGATGGATTAGGTCTTCTTTTTGGTGTATTTGGGCTAGAGTGTGGTTGGCTTGATGCAATGTGGTCTAATTTTCATAAATTCTCAAGTGTTTAGCCATGATTTTTTCGAAGTGAGTTTAGCACAATACTTCTAGGCCTTCATCCATGTGAAAGAATTTATTTAGACTTTATCATTTTAAAATTGTTAGTCCATCCATGTTAAACATGCAGCTACTAAAGCTTTTTTGTTGAAATGTTTTACAGGGCCAAACCTAATTTCTAGTAAGCAGGACTAATGGTTTCATTCAGTGAGTTAAGTCAGCATGCACAGTATTATCAGAGCTTTTTCAGAAGATATGGATGACGTGGTAATGGTAAAGCACACTTGTGACAGCAGGAACTGTGATTTCACATGTTTAGGCAGCAGCATCCAACAAACTCATCTGTCACTTTAAAGGCTCACAGATTTATTGCTTGTTAAACATGCTCTAATTTAACTGTATCTGCTAAAAATCTGTTCTTAATTTGAAGTCGTTAGTGATTGTGTTAAAAGACAACTTGCACATTACTTCTCTGCCTCAATGGCTTAAATTCAGCTAGGAGTAGGATTAAAAATGAAAGGTTGAAAAAAGTAATGTTAGTAAACAACCAAATAATGTCTTGTAATGATGTCACACTTTTCATATGAAGTTCAGCTACTCAGTCATTGACTGAAGCCCTGAAGCAGCATCCCTTCAGACATCAAGAGTTAATTTCTACCTTGCACCTACAGCAAAACAAGATAAATTGTGTGGAAGAGTGTTAAATATTTTCCGCTGAAGGTTCAGGTGTAGGTCTTTGCTAGAACTTGCTGCTGCTTGGCGTGGATAATTATTTCCTTACAATGTCCTTTAAGCCTTAAGAAGAAAAATGGAGGTAGTATGTAAAACCTCATGTTTCCTTTTGTTTTGAACCATCTTTAAGAGCTATAAAATATGAGTTAAGTGTGAAAAAATCTTTAAAAAGTTTATCCTGTGTTTTAAAGTGGATGTCAATTTCTTAAAATTCTGCATTCTTTAAGAGCTCTGAAGAATTTTCAGGCCTTGAGCTTGCCTGGACTAAACTTTTGCACCATTTTGTGGGATAACTTTTGAGTAGATGACAGAATCCTGAGTCTTTCTCACTAATACATAAAATGACTGAACTATTTCAGGAAGAGTCCCACAGTTCTGTGCTAGCAAAAGAATAGCTTTGCTTGTCCAAGTAGTATCTGGCTAGCAGCCCTGGGGCATATGTTTGTTGTTGCTCTAGAGAAAAACAAGCAAACAAATGTGTATGAGTAGCCAGTGTAATGGACCAGTATAGTGCTTAATGTTTGAGGCAATCAGTAAGATGTTTGGTCTCTTTAAGAAATTGTATTTTGTATTTAGAGAAATGCTGACATGATAAAATAGATATGCTTTTGATACCTAAATGATTTTTTTTTGGCCTACAGTTGTTTTAACTTTGAGAAAGTGAATGGATGATAAGCCCTTATTGCTTAGTATTTAGTGCTTAGTGGAGAAAGTTTGTGGTGAAATCTTCATTTCTGTGAGCTCAAAGCCCAATCTAACCTGGCCTTGGACACTGCGAGGGATGGGGCATCAGTAACTTCTCTGGCAGCCTGTCCCAGTTTCCCACCACCCTCATAGTAAACAATTTCTTCCTAATATCTAATCTAAACCTGCCTGCTTTCAATTTGCAGCCATTTACCTTTATCCTATCACTACATGCCCTTGTAAAAAGTCTCTCTCCAGCTCTCTTGTAGGCCCACTTCAGGTACTGGAAGATACTCTAAGGTGTTCCTGGAGCCTTCTCTTCTCCAGGCTGAACAACCCCAACTCACTCAGCCTGTCTTCAACTTTTCAAGCTGACTTGCTCCAGGAGAACAGCATCCTTCTGATGTTGAGGGCCCCACAGCTAGATAGGCATAACCAGAGCCAGGTGGGGATAACTCTGAAGAGCTGTTCTTTCACATGCTCTTTCACATGTCTGGTTTGAGTTCATTTTAGAAGTAAAAATCTGGGATATGCTGTTGAGAGGAAGTCAAGAGGGGAAGAGACAATGGAGATAAAAAAATAATGATGCCAAATTTACAATCTGTTTACTCTGCCATTTTCTCAGCTCTTGTAGAATAAGAAATGAAGTGTTTGGAAAAGGACAGAAGTGTTTTGCAGGACATGGCTCAAGTTAGCAGGGCTTCTTCAGCTGTAGGGAAAAACTAGTCCAAGGTTGGAGGACTTTGATTTGACTTTATGAATCTGAGTCTCACTCTTGGGACGGAGGAAGGTGACACTTCCCTCAGATGTTCTACTAGCCTAAAAAAATTATTTCCTTTTTTTTTTTAATTTCTCTTTTTCACCTTCTTTCAAAGGTCAGAGAAAAATACTGTTCAGTACAAATGTGGGATGTGTGCAACTGCCCTGTTACTTTTGTTAGGTCATCATTAGAGCATAAGAAATTGGGGAAACATCTTTCTCAAGGAAACTGATGGTATGCTGTTTTGGTTTTGTTTGTTTGTGGGTTTGGGTTTTTTTACAGGTAGAAGTTATTTAAAGTAAGAGCTGTTACTTCAGGATCAAGCAGAGCTACTCTATGTCTGAACACTCAGATAAAGACAAACTCTTTGTAGGGAGTTCTCTCCTGTGTGTGCTGGTAAATCTTGCCCTGCCCCTCCGATGGGAAACCTTCCCAGTCTTTAAATGTGTTGCATATTTGTAACTTGTAATTCCTGCTGTGTTGCTTAATTGAAAATGTAGAGTATTGCCACAATACTCTACAGTATCTTCTGCTCATGTTTGGGGAGTTTTATGGGTATGTATCAGTTTGAAATTTTCAGTCTTACTTTATTAAAGTGTCTAGTTTAGTTTGGTTTGTTTATTGGTTTGGGGTTTTTTAAATATTCCCTCATGTTTACTAAGGAACATTTGTTTTGAACAGAACAGTGCTTCGGACTGAGAGGTATTTTTAAAGGCATTGAAACCTTAAAATGCTTCTGAGGCAGTGATGTGTTACAGATAGAGACAGAATGAGTGCAGCTTGGAAGGGATTTAAGTGCCCTTCAGGAATGGGAGCAATGATATCAGGAGGTCACTAGTAATGTATCCGCTACAAGCGGATTTTGGGAAAATTAGTTCTTGCAGTTATATAAACAGAAGAGGGAGAGAGTACGTCAGTAGAGTGAGTTTTGTTCATTTATAGCATTCATAGTAGAGAACAGTGTAAAAAATGTGTAAGCTTTGGAGGCAGTCTCCAGCTCTTTGGGATTTTTATTCCCCCTGATTTACAATCAGCATTACTTAATCTTAGAATTTGGTTTTATCTGTGTTGGCTCTTAATCTGGGTGTGTGCTAGGATTGTTAGAAAACAAACCAAGAAAATTCTGCTAATACTCCTGCAGGTTAATACAGCTTTATACCAACTTTACACCTTCCTTTTCTTGGACTTTGAATAAGCAGTGTACCAAAGCAGTATATTCTGTCCAAGGTAAATCTGTGCCTAGATAAAGAATGAAGATGGACTTTGTGATGGTGAGAGAGCAGACGATTATGGCACTTAGTTCCCAGACCTTGAGGTCTTCCATTGGTTCCAGGGAAGGTGTTTAGCAAACTCAGGTCTGGCCCACTGAACTACACTGGGTGAAATCCTGAAGTGCCTGTGACAGGCCGTTCACTGTGGGGTGGACACTGCCCACCCTGGATGTGGGATGGGATATTGCCCAGGCTCCTGCTCATGCAAAAAGTTGTCGACTTGGAACTTGCTGACTTGAAGACCATTATCTGAAATTGCCTTTAAGTCTAACTTACATATTTGAACGTTAGTGTTATGATACCAGTTACTGTATCAAACTCTGTTCTTGTGAGAAATTTTGGTTTTATCTGTGCTGTGTGTTGTGTTCCTACAGAATAACAGGTAGTGTAAGCAGCAATGTAAGCCTTTTTGCTCTTTTAGTAAGGAGAGGAGAGGCAAAGATCTGGCATGTTTTATTTATCTCCATATGATGAAAGTTTTTGGCAAGGAAATGCGTTATTTTTTTGATTTGTTATGAATGAACTTTACCACTCTCTCCGTGTCCGCTTTTCTATGACCTTGTAGTTTTCACAGTGCTTCAGCATCTTGGCCATTAGA